TGTGCCTGTAATCCCAGCTGCTCGGGAGGCTGAGCCAGGAGAATCGCTTGAACCCAGGAGGCAGGGGTTGCAGTGAGCTGAGATCGCACCACTGCACTCCAGCCTAGGTGGCAGGGCAAGACTCCATCTCAAACACAAAACAAAAAAGTAGTATGGAATGCTATTAAATACAGAAGGCCCTGATCTAATGTGGGGATTGAGCATGCAAGGGTTAATAAGGGATTTCATATACTTCATTATTTTCATCTCCCTCCCATGGAAAAATAGGCTAGACTGATTAATAGGTCTGTGTTAGAAAATTTCCAGTGAAAAATGCAACCTGTGATCTCCGTGCCTCCCCTACAGCCCCACGAGTGACACACTGAAGAGACAATTCTCCTCTTTTCTTTACAGGTCGGCTCAGAGATGAGAGAGCACCCTGGAATGTTCCAAATTCAGTTTCACCAAATATTTTGAAAGTATTCAAAATAAACACACAAGTAAAATAGACTAACTTACGAGTCCAAGATTTCTCATTCCATTTAGAGCTATTAATGGAAAGAATAACTTCGCTGGCCCAGGCAACATAACAGGCACATTTTGATAATGAGAAAGTCCTTTTTGGATCAAACCTAAATTGATGGTACTTCACATATAGTTCAGGGTGTTGAGATGACCACATGGCAGAGTGCCATGGAAAAAGCATTTTGCAGCATGCAAATATGATCAATACAAGCAACAAGAGGAAGATGCAAAATCATGTGATAATAAAGACCTTGGCTGAGCCCGGGAGCTCATGCCTGTAATCCCAGGGCTTTGGGAGGCCAAGGCACGAGGATCTCTTGAGCCCAGGAGTCTGAAATTACAGAGCTATGATCATACCACTGCATTTCAGCCTGAGTGACAGAGTTAAGTCTCAAAAACAAAAAAAGAAAAATGTAAAAGTAGCATTTAGACGACATTTTTTTCTGCTTTTAGTTATTATCCTGGCCAACACTCCAAACCACAGACGTAGGGCAACGTCTAATCAAACTTAAGGCAGCTTCCTCCTGCAGGCTTAAGAATGGAGCGCCCCTCAGGCCATGTCAGATAAACATGTCTGTACCATTGCCTCTGCTTTTATAGCTCACAAGAGACAGGGAAACCTTTAGCTTGTTCACGTGATTTCAAGAGTCAGGCAAAGGCCGGGCGCGGTGGCTCATGCCTGTAATCCCAGCACTTTGGGAGGCCGAGGCGGGCGGATCACGAGGTCGGGAGATTGAGACCATCCTGGCTAACACGGTGAAACCCCATCTCTACTAAAAATACAAAAAATTAGCCAGGTGTGGTGGCGGGTGCCTGTAGTCCCAGCTACTCGGGAGGCTTAGGCAAGAGAATGGCGTAGACTGGAGAGGCGGAGCTTGCAGTGTGCCAAGATCGCGCCACTGCACTCTAGCCTGGGCGAAAGAGCGAGACTCCATCTCAAAAAAAAAAAAAAAGAGGCAGAAAAAGTGCCCCTTAATATCTGAGTAGGTTTTGCAGGGAGGGGTTTCACTCAGGTCTTGAATATTAAATGGCTGCCCCTTAGAGGGAGTGATTATCCTCTGAAGCCACAAAAGCTGAGCTATATAGGAGAGAAGCAAGGGACCCTTCCTTTCCATATTTGGAAAACCAGGCTTCATGTGTGAGCAGGAGAGAATAATGTGACCAATTTATGGCTGGCTTAGTGTTCTTTTTAAAATAACAATCAGTACTGTGGACCACTAGAGGGATACATGCAATAACAGAAATCCAATCATCGTATCTAATGACAATTAATTACACAGTCATGTATCCATAACGTTTGGAAACAGGCTAGAAACATATGCTGCGTGGTGAGCTATATGTCTGTATTTGTGTTTGGGTGTCTTTGGCCAGCTCATCCATCATAGTGATGATAGACAAGCTGTGTCAAGCCCTGTGTTTTTGCTCTCATTTGCATCTTTTTGCTTCTCATCCTTCTGCAGCAGCCTGGATATCCAATAGAGTGATGAGTGCTGAGCACTCACATGTTCTGACCATCACCTCCCTTCCTACCTTCTCCTTGATTCACAGGCTTGGGTCACATCTACCCCTATTTATCTTCTGTCTTCATCATGTGGACAAACCAGCTCAGACCCTGGGCTTCCTGGGAAACAGTGTGGTCCAGCACAGCAGTGTAGGATCCAGAGCTCTTCCCATTTCTTCCCTTCCCTTCCATTCTCTACCGTCGGCTTTTTTTCTGCCCTGCCACTTGCTGAAACTGCTTCATCAGGATGATGGGTGACATCTCTAGTTGCCAGCTGTAGGCATTTTACGTTCCCCATTTGACCCCTCCACATGCCTGAGGTTTCAGCTCTCACCTGAACATCTCTTTTCTTTCAAATATTTCCTTCCTCCGAAGCTCCAGGCCTGTAGCTGCAACTGCCTGCTGGACCCGGATGTTTCCCAAAACGTAAAGCATCAACACCAGACCTACCAACTTCCTCTCAAACTCTCTGCGTCCCTGGCAGGGCAAATGGCTCCCCATCCACACAGCCTGGTGGATACTGCTGAATACCAGGCCACATCAACTCTTCTCATTGTCCTTCCTGACAGAGCCCTCATTTTGTTCAGGTGTCTACTGTCTCCACTCCCGGCCCAACTCCAGGGGTGGGCCTGATTTGGTCAAAAGGGTATCCGAGTCCCCCTCACTGTGACTAAATTCTAAATTCTAAGAAAAGTCCATCAACAGACACTCTGAGAAAATAGACATTATTTGTCTGGATGCTGTAATCTGGATATGATACCTAGAATTTCAATTTCAGACAGAGAAAGAAGCCAACTCAGAAAGAGGCACAACAAAAGAGGAAAAAAAGAAACAGGCTGGACGCGGTGGCTCACACCTGTAATCCCAGCAATTTGGGAGGCTGAGGCGGGTAGATCACCTGAGGTCAGGAGTTTGAGACCAGCCTGGCCAACATGGTGAAACTTCGTCTCTACTAAAAACACAAAAATTAGCCAGGTGTGGTGGCAGTCGCCTGTAATCCCAGCTACTTGGGAGGCTGAGGCAGAAGAGTCGCTTGAATCCAGGAGGCAGAGGTTGCAGGGAGCCAAGATCGCGCCACTGCACCCCAGCCTGGGCGACAAAAGTGAAGCTCCATCTCAAAAAAGAAAAAAAGAAAAAAAAAAAAGAACTTGGGACTGTAATAACCCATTAAGCTGCTAAGTCCACGACCCAGGGCAAGCCTATTATGAATCCCACATCCATCTTCTATTGTTGGAGATGATCTCCTTTCTCGTGGTTGATGCTAATTTGGGTTTCTATTGCTCATGGCGAAAAGTCTCTGTGCTCTGTCTCACATCAGATTCACTGAAGAGTCCTGCCCGTCCCCACCAATATATATCCCCACTTCACCACCACTACCACTGATCCCCATCCCTACAGCCAAGATCCTAGTCATTCATTGCCTAAACGACTTTAATATGTACCCCTGGTCTCCCCCATCCCAAGATAACCCGATCCTACATCTCAACCTCTCAGGCTAAACTCTGTGTTTTCTTCCTTCAAGGCGCTTACAACTATGTCAAAGTATCCTGTTTACTGGTTTATTGTTTGTCTTCTCATGCTAGAGCACAAGTCCTATGAGGACAGGCAGCTTGGCTTTTTTTTGGGAGGGACAGGATCTCTCTCTGTCGCCCAGGCTGGAGTGCAGTGGCACAATCTCAGCTCACTGCAACCTCCGCCTTTTAGGTTCAAGTGATTCTCCAGCCTCAGTCACCTGAGTAGCTGTAATTACAAGCATGCACCACTATGCCCAGCTAATTTTTTTCTACTACTTTTTGTAGAGACAGGGGTCTCCCTGTGTTGCTCAGATTGGTCGTGAACTCCTGGGCTCAAGCAATCCTCCTGCCTTGGCCTCCCAAAGTGCTAAGATTACAGACAGGAGCCACTGCACCCTGCCAACTCTTTTTTTAAACCACTTTATTCAGGTATGATTAACATATCAAAACTGTACATATTGAACGTAAACATTTGGATGAGATTCGGGATAAGTATACACTTGTGAAACCATTACCACCATCAAGGCCATAAACATACTCGTCCCCTCGCAGTTTCACTGCACCTGCTTTATGATGATTGCTGCTATTTTTGTGACAAAACACTTAACATATTAAGATCCACTCTCTTAGCAAACTTTTAGTACACAATACTTTTTTAAAAGAGATAGGGGTCTCATTATGTGGCCCAGGCTGGTTTTCTCAAAGTCTTGAACTCAAGTAATCCTCCCCGCTTCAGCCTTTCTCTATTGCATATTCATGGTGTCCTTGTCAAAAATTAGTTGTCAGTTGGGCCCAGTGGCTCGTGCCTGTAATCCGAGAATTTTGGGAGGCCAAGGTGGGTGGATTACCTGAGATCGGGAGTTTGAGACCAGTCTGACCAATATGGTGAAACCCTGTCTCTACTAAAAATACAAAAATTAGCCGGGCCTGGTGGTGTGCGTCTGTAATCCCAGCTACTTGGGAGGCTGAGGCAGGAAAACTGCTTGAACCCAGGAGGCAGAGGTTGCAGTGAGCAGAGATAGTGCCACTGCACTCCAGTCTGGCCGACTGAGTGAGAATCCCTCCATTAAAAAAAAAAAAAAAAAAATCATTTGTCCATGAGAGGCTGAGGCAGGACGATGGCTTAAGAACACCTCCTTACAAGATACAAGGTCAAGTGCAGTCTGTGGAACGTATGCACAAAGGATGACAAGAGAAGTGGAAGAGCTAAATTTGTAAGTGAAAATTTCTGACTCTGACATATTGAAAAAATACTTTATTATAGGTCGGACGCGATGGCTTCCCTGTAATCCCATCACTTTGGGAGGCCAAGGCAGGTGGATCACGAGGTCAGGAGATCGAGACCATCCTGGCTAACACGGTGAAACCCCATCTCTACTAAAAATACCAAAAATTAGCCGGGTGTGGTGGCAGGTGCCTGTAGTCCCAGCTACTTCGGAGGCTGAGGCAGGAGAATGGTGTGAACCTGGGAGGCGGAGCTTGCAGTGAGCTGAGATCTCGCCACTGCACTCCAGCCTGGGTAAAGCAGCCACACTCTGTCAAAAAAAAAAAAAAAAAAAAAGTATATATACCCAGAAACGTAAACATAAGTGAACAGCTCAATTAGTATTCATGAAGTGAACATAGTACAACCAACATCCAGACCAAGAAACCGAGCATGAATAGCCAGCCCCCCAAATTTTTCCATTGCTCTCTCCTCCAGTCGCTAGTTCCCCACCTCAACCCCAACCAGGAAGCACTATCCTGTCTTCCAACACACTGGATTCGTTTTGCCTGCTTTTGTACATTATATGAATAAAATCACACAGTGTACACACTTTTGGATTTGGTATCTTTCTCTCAACATTATGCTAGTGAAATTAATCCACATTGTTGTATGTAGTAGCATATGGGTCATTTTCATTGCTGACGGTCTTCCATTTATTCATCTATTCTTTTGTTGATTGGCATTTAGATTGCTGTTTGGGCTTATAACAAATTGTTCTGTTATAAATATTCTATTTCATGTCTTCTGGTGAAAATATATAAGCATTTTTGTTGTGTACCTTTCCAGCAGTGGAATGACTGAGTCCTGAAAGTAACTATCTGTTTAGGTTTAAAACATACCGCCAGCTGGAGATGGTGGCACACGCCTGTAGTCCCAACTACTTGGGAACCTGAGGCAGGAGGATTGCTTGAATCCAGTTCTGGGCTACAGTGGGTTGTGCTGATCAGGTGTTTACACTGTGATTAGCACCACGATGGTGACCTTTCAGGGAGCAAAAGACCCGCAAGTTTACCTATGAAGGGGTGAACCGGCCCAGGTCAGAAACGGAGCAGGTCAAAACTCCCACGCTGATGAGTAGTGGAATCACACCTGTGAAGAGCACTGCACTCCAGCCTGGGCAACAGAGTGAAACCTTGTTTCTTTAAAAAAAAAAAAAAAAAAAAAAAAAAAAAAAAAAGGTTACTGCCAAATAGTTTTTCATTTGAGTTCTGGCTGCTCCATTTGTTTGTGTTGGCAACTTAAAAAAACTAGGCCAAAGAAAACATCTGTGGACCATCATTTGTCACCTCTGACCTAGCGCATCTTCGGTTCTTATGGGAGAAAGATCTTTATAAGGTAAGTCCAAAAGCATAGCGTTCCCTTGCTTAAGACCTTGCAGTATCCCTCCATCTTTGGATAGTGATCGAACTTCACGACCGGCTGCTCTTCTTTTTTTTCTACCTCTTTCCCCTGATCTTTACGTCCATTTTTCATATCTCCATCCCTGACACTTTAAAGGTCTTGGTGGGCTGCCACACTCTAGTAAGTCAGCATGCCTTGAAATATGCTGACCAACCCATGCCGATGGCTTCCCCTTTCTTTACTAGGCCAATTGAGTACTTTCTCTCCCCACTAAATTACTAGACCCAGTGCTTGGGATACAAACCTGGATTCTCTCTACCCCAGGGACTTCACGGTGCCTGCCACAAGGCAAGTGCTCAGTGCATGCTTGTGCCACAAACTTGGGTACTCCCTGATGTTGAATTTTTTTAAGGTAATCCATGCAGGCAGGAAAGTGAAAAAAAACACTACACACGAGAAAGGGAAATTTTACCCTCAATCTCCCCAGTTCTCCCTAGAGGCAACCGCTGGTACCACTTCCTTGCGTATTCTTGCTGAGATATACATGGAACGTATAAGGATATATATTCCATCAATGCTATGGAGAAAATAAAACATTCCTCTGGGGGTCCGCGAGTGCTGGAGACGGTCGCGAACGGTTCGCAGGAGCTGCAATCTGAGAGTTGCCCTACTCTGAGCCCAGAAACGACCGTCGTGCACCTGCAGTCCTCAGGGAAATCTGAAGAAAGTTCCACAGCTTAGATTCCCAGCACTTTGGGAGGCCAAGGCGGGAGGGTTGCTTGAGCCCAGGAGTTGGAGACCAGACTGAGCAACATAGTGAAACCCCGCCTCTACAAAAAACACAAAAGTTAGCCGGGCATAGTGGTGCACTGTGGTCCCAGCTACTCGGCAGGCTGGGATGGGAGGATCGCTGGAGCCGAAGAGGTCGAGGCTGCAGTGAACCGTGATTGCACCACTGCACTACGGCCTGGACGACACAACGAGACCCTGTCTTAAATAAAAGGAAGGAAGGAAGGAAGTTACACAGAAAGGCCGCCTGCCGTAACTTCGCATCGGAGCCCCAGGTGTGGACCTGGGCCAGTGAAAGCGCAGCACGCGTCCCGCGCCTGCGCACTGGCCCACGCCGAGCTCTCGTCGGCTCTCCTTCCCACGTCCTCCTCCAACGCCTGCGCACCAGGGCCCGTTTCACGCAGGCCTGCGAAGCTGGAGCCCCTGAATAGCCTTTCTTGCCGACTGAGGCGGGAGGAATTTGCTAGTTCCTGTATCCCTTGTCCTTCTCCCTTCCCAGTCTAAGATACCAACTATAAATGTTCGAACCCAATTCACCCCAGAAGGCAGGGGCCACATGCCAGTGGCCTGAAGGCGCCCAGGTATCCAGAAGGATTGTGGGTGGGGACCCGCGGTCACGTGGCATGCTCCCGCCAATCAGCGCGCAGACCGCACTTCGCAGCTCGGCTTCAAACAAACTACCGTAAGGTCGGAGCGCCACTGGGGCCCCGCCCCCTTCGCCTGGGCCTGGGGCCCCGCGAGACGGCGGGAAGGGGTGGGGGGCGCCCGGGAGGGGGCGGGGCGCAAGGTCGAGTGACGGCCTGCCTCACCTATTCCGGGCGCGGGCTGAGCCCCACAGCCAATGGGCGGGGGCGGGCGGCGGGGGGCGGCCCGGCCGGCGGGGAGGGGGAGCCCGCGGCAGGGGACGCGGGGGGAGGAGGAGGCGGGCTCCCAATCCGGTTCCATCCGGTTCTCCCACCGCCCCCGCTGTGGGTCTCAGCAGCTCGGGCGGCGGGAGGAGTGGCAGCGGCCAGGCAGCCCAGTTTCGCGAAGGCTCTCGGCGCGCCGCGGCCCGCAGGCACCCGGCACGCGCCTTCCCCGCCGCCAGGATGCCCAAGAGGAAGGTGAGCGGTGGCCGCGGCCCGCACACGCCCCCTGGAGCCGCCGTCTGCCGGGCCCCGCGAGGCCCAGGCCCCGCTGCACTCACGGTGGCGACGGGCCCGGGAGGCGCTTGGAGACCGGCGGGCGGGCAGGCGGGCGCTCGGCGGCCGCGGGGGCGGCTGTTCTGGAACATTCGGCGGCCGGGGGTGCCAAGGGGGCGATTCGAACGGGGCGGCGGGAAGCCGTGACGTCACGCGGCCGGGCATTGTTCTCGGGGCCGTGCGGGCGCGCGGGTCCTGGGACTGCGGCCCGCCTGCATTCGCCCGTCTCCTTGTCCCCGCAGGTCAGCTCCGCCGAAGGGGCCGCCAAGGAAGAGGTGAGTTCGGGGCCTTCTGCGGGGGGTGGTGGGTTTCCCGTGAGCCGCTGGCCTGCCTGCCTTTCTCGCTGACTCTCCTTTTTCTTTTTCCAAGCCCAAGAGGAGATCGGCGCGGTTGTCAGCTGTAAGTAAAGCCAGCCCCGTAACCGTTTGTTTTTCGCGGGTCGTCCCGGGTGAGGACGTTCAGTGCTACTTTTGCCTTTCAGAAACCTCCTGCCAAAGTGGAAGCGAAGCCGAAAAAGGCAGCAGCGAAGGTAGGCTTCGAAACGCGCATTGGGGTGCAGCGGGGCCTTAGGCTACACTGCTCCTTAATGCGGGACTTTTCATTTTGATTAACTATTTGAGCTTTCTTTATATTTTAATAACTACGGTAAAGAACTTTTCTTCTGGTCGGGGTAAAATGTAATGGATATATTGGTCCTGGTTTATAGGACTATATCACACTAATGCTGCTGCAGATGTTAGGAGACTTAGGACGACAAAAAGTATTAAATATTAGCAAGTCTACAAAGGAAATTTATTCTTTGCGTTGCGTACATTGTGGCTGGTGGTTGGCCTTTAATTGCGTGCTTGTACTTCCTTTTTTGAGTATAAAAGAGCCAAGTTAGGACTGAGGCAGGGAACGTGTAAGTTTTTATATATACAGTTTCCAAGCCAACTTGGGGAAACCTTAACCCTTTTACGGGGTGGGAGTGGGGAGGTCAGAAGTTGTGATCTCTGAGAAAATAACCGCTACTACTCTAAAAGTGTTTTATTAGCAGTTATACAAAACCGTGATTTTGGCTGCTCCCTAATAAATTCGTGATTGCATGATTCGAATTGCAGGTCTGTAGAATGAAGTTAGCTTTGGATATACTTGTGTTTGATAACTTTCAGAGTGGAAAAGCAGAACATGTGTAAAACGTGTATGAACTTTGTGTTTGGAGCTAGCGTTGAAACCACCATCTGTAAAGCTCTACGTGTTCTTCACGGGGTGATTAATTTCTATCCTAAACTTAGGTGAAAGTTTGCTATTTGAAGTCTCAAAAAATTTTTTTGTTAATGCCTTCACCTCTTTCCTAAAAGTGTAGGTAGAAGTGTAGCTCTGCACAGTCATCAGAAGAGGCAAGATTAATTTCCTTGACATTGAGGAGTTCTTGGATAATTACTAAATTTGTCCTTGTTAAATAAAGGTATAAAACAAAGATGTTTTTTCTTATTTAATTTAAATTTTGTACAGAGCTGAGTGTAAAAAATCTTAACTATGTTTTCTTTAACAGAAAGTTCTGTTTTTGTGATCCTTTTAAAAATAAAGCTTCAAGGAAGGTATGAGAATAGTATTTTTCAAGTTACAATCTCATTACCAGAAGACAATGTGGTAATTCTCTGTATACAGTTAGAAAAGCACGGAAACTTGATGAAGGCCTAAAAAATTAGCTGACCTTGTTTAAAATGTTGGTGTGAGCGGTATATTATTACTTTTTTGATTCTGGGTTGTTGGGGTTTTTTTTAAACTAATTGGCTGAAATATCTGCCTGTTTCCCTCTTTACATTTTTCTTATTTATCTTTGTCCACCTTGAGATCTACTGTAAAATAAATTTTTTAATGAAAACAGTTCCAAGTTGGACTCTCAGTGGGTTTGGGACATCAGATGTAATTGAGAGGCTAACAGGTAAGTCTTCGTGTCAGTGTTTGTTGAGGAACGAGCCTATGAGGTCAGCCTTCCCCAAGGAAAAAGGGCAGAAGGGATTTGTTCATTTTTACATCTAGTTTCTGTAATACACCTTTGACTTCATAGTTGATCAGACTTTAAACAGAGGGTAAGCACTTGGTGTATTGATTTTCATACTACATAGTAGACATGTTTTCAAGGCGTATCTGTCACAGTGTGTCATTTCCCTAGAACTAAATGTTTTGAAGGTCCAAACATTCAGGAAACTTGATTGATTCTGTTTTATTTAGCTTATCAGCTGATAATGGTTACAGGTGGTATTTTTGTTTTATTTAGCTTATCAGCTGATAATGGTTACAGCTGGTATATTTCAAATTCAGGGTATTACTGTGTATACTATTTTAACTGTTTCCCAGTTTTGTATTTTTTGTATTGGAATGATTATGAAATTAATGAGAAATCTTTAGAAATCAGTACAGAAGTGATCGTGAAACTTCGTGATAGCAATGTGTGTAGTAGCAGTTTTGTCTCAGATACACTTGTTATTCGAAGGATGTTGAAGTATTAAAAGTCATCATGCTGTCTGGAATCCTACTGTTAGTACAGAACACCCTGCAGTGATTTTTGTCTGTGGAATCCTGCTGTTAATACAGAACACCGTGCAGTGATTTTTCCACCCACGTTAGCATTGAAGTTGTGAGCTCTACTTGCTTGTCTTTATGGCCCTTTAACTCAAGTAATTGGTCAGTATCCTTATAGGTCTTTTATACCACCCACTGGGGGCTAAACTAATTTAGCTGCTGTTGCATACTTACTGACGAGAAATAAATGTTAAGCTTTCTTCTCAGTATTGATGGATGGTATCCAAAAGTATTTTTATGTTTCTTTAACATGGCTTAAATTTTGAACTTAATGTGTCAAGTTAGTATGGTCATTTTAAATACCTGTACTTTTCAGATTCTTCAAACACCTATATGAAAATGATAAATTCAAAATTGATCCTTTTAGTTCCTCATTTTATGATCTCAAGGGAGTAACTGTAGCAGGATGGTCAACCTGACCCTACGGCATGGTGGTTTTTTTCAGGTGAATGGTCTTAATGTGAGGGTTAAGGTCTTGTGAGGACAGTGTTGTTCAAGTTCACAACAAATTTGGGGATGGGTGGGAATACAGTTGATGAGACTCCTCTGGTATTCGACTTCATTTGTCTTGTCATGTGGAACTGCAGAGAATAGTAGATGATGGCAACAGTGCTGAAGTACAGCTTGGGCTTTAGGATTTGTCATATGTCTAATGAGGCTTGACATGCAAGTACTATTAAAATCTCCTTAGCATGCGCTGTTTTCCTGATTACTGGGGTGAACCCTAAGTTGTCTCATATAATAGGTATATCAGCTGATGTGTGATAGACATTAATGTGACAGCTATTATGGATATAGTCTATACAAAATGAGATCCTTTCATAAGCTTGAAAATTGGGTTTTCACACTAATGTGTGAGATGTCCCTCTCAAACCTTGCTATGAAGTCAGCACCATTGTTTACATTAGTTGTCTGACATGAAGGGGGAAAATTAAAAACAATGTAAATAAGGGGTAAAGTTTGTAGTTAAAATATATTCTTATTCTATCATAGGATAAATCTTCAGACAAAAAAGTGCAAACAAAAGGGAAGAGGGGAGCAAAGGGAAAACAGGCCGAAGTGGCTAACCAAGAAACTAAAGAAGATTTACCTGCAGAAAACGGGGAAACGAAAACTGAGGAGGTCAGAAGCGTGTGTGTGTTTTCACTCTGAACAGTAGATACTACATTGTACGTTTTTTGTAGCAGATAACAGTATTCATTATAATATTGAACAAAGTTTTGTACAGTATCCCAAAATGAATGGACAAATGGTTTATGATTTATCCTATTGGAAAATAAATACGTAAATGGCTTAAGAGCAAATTTTAATATGCTCAATTTCAAATATAATTTAATCTTTGTTTTGTTTTTATATTCTGGATGTTGCTTTTAAATATATTTTCGAAAGTTTATTACCCTTGCATTTTTCCTGGCATATTTTTCCCACTTTCATTTCTAATGAAAATGTTTTTGTTTGTATTTTTCTTAAAGGTCTAAATAATAACATACATAAAGCAAGTAAAAAGACTAGTGTCATTAATCTTTATTTTTAGAGACAGTGTCTGTTACCCAGGCTGAATCTTTATTGTTTTAAGCTATGAGGAAAAGATGTTTTTTCTTACCAACCAAGCAGTGGGAGTAGAGAAGGAACAAAGAAATCTGTAACAGGTTTTGATTGATTTGTTGCGAACACCACTGTACTCCTCTAGCCTGGAAGCTGTTTCTTAAAAAATAACTGCAAGGTTCAGTTAAGCCAGGCCTCTTTATTTTATGTTTGTTATATTAACTAAGCTAGAAAAGATAAGTAATTTAGTATATTGAGTTTTAAATTTTGATATTTAAATTTGATACCACTTAAGAATTTGATAAATATCAAATTCTTTGATATTAAATTTGATATTTATCAAATTCTTAAGTTATAAACTTATTCCTAAATTAAGAAATAAATTTACAATCCCAGTTTTATTTTTTTAACTTGTATTTCTTAATTCCCTTTATTTTATTTTTTTTATTTTTTTCTTTTTTGAGATGGAGTTTCGCTCTTGTTGCCCAAGCTGGAGTGCAGTGCTGGAACGGCTCACTGCAACCTCCGCCTCCTGGGTTCAAGTGATTCTCCTGCCTCAGCCTCCCAAATAGCTGGGATTACAGGCATACACCCCTACGCCCAACTAATTTTTTGTATTTTTAGTAGAAACGGGGTTTCACCATGTTAGCCAGGCTGATTTCAAACTCCTGTCCTCAGGTGATCCGCCCACCTCGGCCTCCCAAAGTACTGCCATTACAGGCGTGAGCCACCGCTCCTGACCTGTACTTCTTAATTCTAACCATACATCAAATATTGTGTGATAATAAGATCACATTGCTAATCTAGTTCTGATTTTAAAGGAAGAACTTGACCTTCCAGTACATATTATCAAATTACAGTTGGTTCTCTCCTGTTTATAGCTGTGTTCTATTAATATAAGGCTGCCACAAGTATGAAACTGTTTCACGTAGGGAGAATACAGGATTGGGTTCCTGCATACCTCTGATCACAACATTTTCATCAACTGATAAATACGTGACTTTGTTACATGTGTATTTCTGTTCAGACATGCCTTAATTGATGTATGTTAAATTCACATGGAACTCACTACCAGTAGCACTGTAATTCGTGCCTGAACAAAGCTGTCCAACACATACGTTCTCTGTGTGGCACATCACAGCCTTGAATTTAGCAACATTAGATAGCACTTGGACAAGATGCTTAGGGGCCATTTTAAACAGCAAAATCATCAGTAAAAAGCACAAAGATGTAAAATATGTGGCATTAAGTAGACCAGAAAAACAGTTGTTTACGGCATCAGAGCTGAAACAAGAAGACAGAGTGACCTCAGCTTGGAATGTACATGTGGTGCAACTCACATTTTTTTGCTGCTCTGCATATGCACGTTACCATGGAAGTGCCGCAAGTATTGATTTGGGGTGGGGGGGTGGTTACAAAAGTTTTTTAACAAAAGTAGGTGACTTTACAAATAAAGATTATTGACTTTTATGAAGACCTGATAGTTGCATATAAATAAAATGACAACGTGTTAAGTGCTAAAGATCTCAATTTCCTTTCTTTTGCAGAGTCCAGCCTCTGATGAAGCAGGAGAGAAAGAAGCCAAGTCTGATTAATACCATATACCATGTCTTACCAGTGGTCCCTGTCTCCCTTCTTGTACAATCCAGAGGAATATTTTTATCAACTATTTTGTAAATGCAAGTTTTTTAGTAGCTCTAGAAACATTTTTAAGAAGGAGGGAATCCCACCTCATCCCATTTTTTAAGTGTAAATGCTTTTTTTTAAGAGGTGAAATCATTTGCTGGTTGTTTATTTTTTGGTACAACCAGAAAATAGTGTGGGATATTGAATTACGGGAGGCTTTGACTGTCTCGGGTGCCAGCTTAACATTCCATAGATGGGGGGTTAGTTTTTATATCCTATAATACAGAGCATATTAAATGGCAATATGGAGTCAGTCCTGCATTTAATGTCTTGAACATTTTATTTTACTTCTATTCTCTTGTTTTTTAGTAGAATTGTTTCCTAAAGAAAACCACTCCTTGATCATGGCGCTCCCTGTCAGAATTGTGTGCACTCTGTAACATCTTTGGTTGTGGTAGTCCTGTTTTCCTAATAACTTTGTTACTGTGCTGTGAAAGATTACAGATTTGAATATGTAGTGTACATGCTATTCAGTGAACTGGTGGGCCATATGTAACAGCTGACCAACATGTGAAGATATTGGTACTTGATAGCCTCTTAAGGAAAATTTGCTTCCAAATTTTAAGCTGGAAAGTCACTGGAATAACTTTAAAAAAGAATTACAATACATGGCTTTTTAGAATTTCGTTACATATGTTAAGAATTGTGTACAAATTGAAATGTCTGTACTGATCCTCAACCAATAAAATCTCAATTATGAAAATATTTTGGAGCACATGGATTAAATTCTGGTTTACATTTTATTTATGAAATTTCCACATTTGAGCCTGGCCAACATGGTGAAACCCTGTCCCTACTAAAAATACAAAAAAATCAGTTGGGTGTGGTGGCCGGTTCCTGTAATCCCAGCTACTCAGGAGGCTGAGCCAGGAGAATCGCTTGAATCTGTGAGGTGGAGGTTGCAGTGCGTCCAGATTGCACCACTGCACTCCAGCCTGGGCAACAGAATGAGACCCTATCTCAAAAAAAAAAAAAAATTCCATAATTGATCTTTTTGGTTTTATTTTTAAGTGAAATTTTTAATTTTTGTTTTAATACAGTCACGGGTCACTACAGACTGGGTACAGTCTAAGAAACACATGGTTAGGCAGTTTTTGTGTGTGAACATCAAAGTGCTTACACAAACCTCAGTGGCATAGCCTATTACATATGTAGGCTGTATGGTTTAACCTATTACTGCTAGGCAACAGACCTGTACAGCATGTTGTTATGTGGATAAGGAGTTGTAATAGAATGGTAACTACTTGTGAATCTAAAGAGAAGGTACAGTATTATATAATACGGGACCATGATGTGGTTCATTGTTGGCTGATACATGAGACATAACTGCTTTAATACTTGCTATGTCCTTTGAAGTTGCTTGACTTGGTTTAAAGGAAAAACAATCCAATATCCTTTGAATCAAAGCAAATACATATTTCTTAGCTCTTCGTATGAGGTTAAAAAAAGTATAGAGTAGGCCGGGCATGATGGCTCACACCTGTAATCCCAGCACTTTGGGAGGCTGAGGTGGGTAGATCACCTGGGGTCAGGAGTTTGAGACCAGCCTGGCCAAGGTGAGACCCCATCGCTAATAAAAATATAAAAATTAGCTCAGCTTAGTGGTGGGCATCTGTAATCCCAGCTACTCAGGAGGCTGAGGCAGAATTGCTTGAACCCAGGAGGTAGAGGTTGCAGTAAGCTGAGTTCACACCATTGCATTCCAGCCTGGGTGACAAGTGAAACTTGGTCTCAAAAAAAAGCTACAACTAAATCTAGTATGGTATGTGTTTTCCAGATTTGCTTTCATATGCATTGTATTCTCATTTTGCCCTCTAACTATAGTCTTTAGAGGGGGTGTAGGGCAACTGTTGACTTGGCAACAGTGAAAACGGCCAGAGAACAGACCTTGCTGAGGTTATCACTAAAGAGGGGTCCTGGGAACAGAATTCAAACCTCTGTACACGTGGTGTGTTGTTTTGCTTATGGGCTGATTAGTAGGCAAGAATCCTTTAAAAACAAGCCCTGTGGGATCACAGATCTCTGCACGGACTGCCAGAGCAGAGTTTATAGGGAATAGTGAGGATACAGTAAAAGCAAATGCAAAGGTTGGTGACGTGGGATGAACTGACAGCAAAGAAGCTTTGATAACCCCTATGGGGAAGGACTAGGAGCCACCTGAGCACTGTTGGTCATTACATGATGGAGGCGTGAAAGGGTGATGAACAGATTTGCCTTTAATTCTGAAGTATAGGTAGAATAGATGAGTTTTTAAGCCTTTTAACCATGGAACCCATCTGCCAGTGTTTAGTTAGTTGCAATCCCCAAACTTACCACCCCTGAGAGTGGTCATAGATGTTTTCGAATCACAGATTTTTTCAGTCATTCTATACTCGTAATGACATTTAAAGAAATCACTAGTTTTTCTTACAAAATAAAACAGGTGGCCGGGCGCGGTGGCTCAAGCCTGTAATCTCAGCACTTTGGGAGGCCGAGACGGGCGGATCACAAGGTCAGGAGATCGAGACCATCCTGGCTAACACGGTGAAACCCCGTCTCTACTAAAAAATACAAAAAAACAGCCGGGCGAGGTGGCGGGCGCCTGTAGTCCCAGCTACTCGGGAGGCTGAGGCAGGAGAATGGCGTAAACCCGGGAGGCGGAGCTTGCAGTGAGCTGAGATCGGCCACTGCACTCCAACCTGGGCGAC